AATTGCTCTACCCACCAAAGCTATCATTTAGAATTGAAGGACTTCCCAGACATGAAAAAACTAAAAGAGTTCATCATCACCAAATTATTACTATAAGAAATATTCAAAGGACTTTTTAAGAAAAGCAAAAATATTAAAACTGTGAACAATAAAATGGCAATAAAAACATATCTATCAACAACTGAATCTAAAAAACAAAGTGAGCAAACAGAATAACAGAGACAGAATTACAGACATGGAGAGCATTTTGGTCATTGACAGATGTGAGGGAGGTGTGGGTGAAGAGGTGAGATGATTGATTAAGAAGTACAAATAGGTAGTCACAGAATAGCCATGGGGATGTAAGGCACAGTATAGGAAATGGAGTAGTCAAAGAACTTATACACATGACCCATGGACCTGAACAAAGGAGGGGGGACCACTGGAGGGAGTAGGGGGTGTTGGTGGAGGGAGGGTAAGGGGGAAAATTGGGACAACTGTAGTAGCATAATTAATAAAATATAATTTTTAAAAATTTTTAAAAATAAAAAATACATGCAAAAAAATTCTAAAGTTCATCTTGAAAAATAAAATGTGCATATAGCTAGAAAAGCTATGGAAACAAAGTCTACTGGGAAATGGGGGCATTGATGGGGACCCATCAACCAGATGCTGAAGTGGTATGTGAACTTGCACTAATTCAGACTGTGTAAGAGGAGTCCAGACTAGACTGATCGATGAACAAAAAGGTTCAGAAACAGCCCAAGAATACACAAGTCTAATGAATGATGCAGTGTAATGCACAAATTATGGTAAAGGTGATTGGTATGTAAGTGATTCCAGGAAAACCCTCATGTGAAAAAAGTAAGGTCCTCCCATCTGACAGCAGAATAAAATCTACATTTACATATTACAAATAAAGACAAAAGTAATAGAAGAAAATGCAAATATATATTTTTAACACCCTAGGCTGCAAAAAGGCTTCACAGCCAGAAACTGTAAAGGAAAGATGAACTTGGCTGGGAAGAAAGGGATTTTTTTTTTAAGGAAATCAAGTCTATGACAGACGACAACTGAAGAAAAAGTAGGTATTTCAACTGAGTTCATTTCCTTTGTATAATACATGTAGGTTTTTTACGACCAATAAGAAAAAATAGAAAAATGAAGAGGCATTCATAAAAGAAATGCCAATGTCAAAAAAAAGCCATGAAAAGATATTCAGCATCACTAGTTAAAAAAACAAACTTGCTGCACAAAGATGAACTTGAAATGTGTAAGACCCAAATATAAGACCTAGAACTATACACATCTTAGAAGACAACATTTGTATAAACCTTCGTGAACCAGGATTAGCTAATGATTTCTAACCTGTGACACCAAAACCATAAGCAGCCAAAGGACAAAACAGATCAACTGGACTCCATTGAAATTTAAAACCTTTGTACTTCCAAGTACAGCATCAAGAAAGTAGAAAGACAACCCAATCAATGAGCAGGAGAAAAAATTTGCAAATCATATCTCTGAGAAGAGACTTGTATTAAAAAAAAAACTAAGCAAAGAACTAAAACAGGAACAGAATTATAGAAATGGAGATCACATGGAGGGTTATCATTGGGGAGGGGAAGGGGGACAATGGCGGAAAATGGTACAGGGGATGAGAAACATAATAGCTAGGCAAAAAATAGACAGAGGGGGGTGAAGAACAGTATAGGAAATGGAGAAGCCAAAGAACTTACATGTATGACCTGCAGACATGAACTGTGGGGGTGGGGCATACTGGAGGGTGAGGGGGTCAGGTCGGTGCAGGGAAGGAGGGGGATAAAGGGAAGAAAAAACACTGGGACAACTGTAACAGCATATTCATTAAAATATACTTTAAAAAAAAGAACTATTACAAACTGAATAATAAAAAAAAATTTTAATGGGCAAAGGGTCAGAATAGATATTTCTCCAAGGTAGATAACAAATGGCCAACAAGCATACAAAAAAATGTTCAACTTCATTAATATTAGAGAAACGCATGTCAAAACCACGTGACACCACTTCCCGCCAGCTAGGATGGCTATAACCAAGACCAGTGATAACCAAGGCTGCTGAAGATGTGGAGAAACTGGACTCCTCATACATTGCTGGCAGGATGGAAAACGATGCTGCCGCTTTGGAAAGCGGTCTCACACGGTTAAATATAGAGTTACGTGATTTAGCAATGGTGGTCCTAGCTACCCGCCCGAGAAAACAAAAACTTGCACACAAATGTTCATAGCAGCGTTACTTGTAATAGTGAAAACGTGGGACCATCTCCAGCGGCCATCAAAGGCGAGCAGGCAGACAAACTGTGGTGCATCCACACAGTGAAATACTATTCACCAGTAATGGGGAACGCAGCACTGGCACCTGCTACCGCACGGACGACCCTTGAAAACGTCACACTAAGTGACAGAATCCGGTCAAAGACTACGCAGTGTGTAGTCTTCCACTTGTATGAAATGTCTAGAACAGGCAGTTCTACAGAGACAGAAAGTGGGTTCGTGGATTCCAGGCACTTGCGGAGTTAGAGGGTTTGGAAGCAAAGGGCAAGTAGTGAGGGGAGGTGTCCCTTCGGGGGGAAAAGGCTCTAAAATGAATCCTGTGGATAGTTGCACAACCTGTGAATACACAAAATGCCTGTGACTGGCACATTTTAAACAGGTCAATTGTATGGTATATGAATCGTATCTCAATAACACCATTTTTTTTAAATTAAAATTTAAACAGTAATTACACTGCCTGTTTGGTGGGCCTCCATCTGACAACAGACTCTCCAGGGTAGGGGTCGCTCTTCATCTTTAACCCCTCACCTTCCCGAGAGTACCCATCAGACCTCGTAAAAAGACTAACACGAAGACCATGCTTAATAACAGGCAGACGCTTCCTAGCAAAGTTGCTGTAAAATCGATTTCTACGGGGAAAATTCTTTTCTGTTATTTCCAGTTTGACTTTCCTGTTTAGGTCAGAGATGCTCTCCTACATTCAATCTCGCTCCAGCCTATACGTGCGCTAAGGGTTTGTGAAGAAATTTAAGTCTCCTCTTGCTTCTAAAATACCTTCCTACTTGTCTACTTCTCCCAGGCCCTAGGCAACCATACTTGGGATCACTTCTGGGCGTCTGGAGACTGCCTTCCATTCTCTTCCCTGCAGGCTGCAGAGACTGCAGTGCTACCATGTCTCATCAGCCCGTGTTGCTGCCTGACCTTTGAGAGTTAAGTACCAAACTTGAAGTGCACTGTGGACAGGAGATGGGACACAGCTCCCCTTAAGTGCATAGCGTGGGCTACGCATAAAGAGCGACTTCCTCCCAAAGAGTACAGTCAGGAAAGGGGGGAGAGAGGAAGGGTGAGTGCACCTGCCAGACACACCTCCAGTCAGGTGAGCAAGGTTAACATCAACCGTGATCAGTACTGCTGACAGGAAATACCCTGGACAAGATGCAAAGAGAATGGCCCTTTACCTCTGTGCTTTTCCTCCCCAAAATGCATCGCCCTAGTCTGATTATGAGGGGAATATCGGCTAAATCTCCAATGAGGGGCATTTTACAAAACACCTGCCCGCTGCTCTCAGAGCTCTCTCAGTCATCGAAAACAAGGAGAGCCTGAGGAACTGTCACAGCCAAGCAGAGCCTAAGGAGACCCCACGACCCTGTAATGCCGTATCCTGGATGCAATCCTGGGGCAGAAGAGGGCCATCAGGCAAAAACGGAGGCAACCTGTGAAGGGCTTTTAGGCTAACAAGAAGGTAGCACCGCCGGTCCACTCACGGTGCAGCTGTGCCACACTGACGTGTTCATAAGCAAAAGTGCGCGTGGGGTATGAGAGAACTCACTGTACTGTCTTCCCAATAATTCTGGAACGCTAAAACTGTTCTCAAATAAAAAGTCTACTTAAAAAAAAGAAACACACTAGCTGCCAACTTTGCCAAATTCCGATTTCTTTTTTTTAAGATTCTATTTTAAGGAATACTTCTAACAGTTTCAAAGTGATAGTCTCTTCTTCAGGCATGTTTTTAAGTGATTAAAAGACAGAAAAGCAAAACGTCACGCCTGGAGAGCAGGGGTGATACTGGGTGGGGGTGGGGAGAAAGAACGGAGTCCCAGCCAAGTCCTCATTTCCATCACAGCACCAGCAACACAGCTGCTTTCACCTTGAAAGCCAAGAAAACCACCAGTGTCCAGCCTCTTCCACCCATGGGGAAAAGGAAGTGTTAAAAGATGCAGCAGTAACAGGAAAACTGGTGGTGCTAAGAAGTTATTCAACCAAGGTTACTACTGAAACATAAAGCCCCGCTGAAGAGATTCATGGCCTAAATTGCCCCAAAGCCACCAAAGCCCCAAGAAACACCAGGAGTGTAGTTATCACTCCTACTAAAAAAAAAATAAAAAGGAATCAGGAAAAGTACTCAATGTGTCTGCTGACTTTAAGTAGTCTTTCCAATTTTATTTGCTCTGATTCTGTTTAAAAATGTGCAGATAGAAGAAATAGATACATACTGTGCTGCTTACATACGCGTAGGTAAGGCGGCTTTGGGGTTTGTTTTTCATGAAAAGCTGGTTAAGTGGACTGGGTGCCAGACCCCTGCTCCCTAAGGACCTCTGTCTACAGAAAGCCCGGCCCGCTGGGGTCGGAGGCACCGCTTCTCCCGGGGCAGCTGCCCCGACCTCAAGAGCGGTCTTTAGGAAGGCAGAAACAGTCCTTACCGAGGCAGCAGAAGAGAACTAGAACTCTCCGGACTCCAAAAACTCATCACAATGGAGGTGAAAACCTACGCCCTCCCACTCAGGAAAGCAGCATACCATACAGCAAACCAGAAACCAAAGCCAGAAAGGTAAAATATAGTACACGGTATAATAAATATGTGAGGGGTGGCCCTGGTCTCAGAACGCACGGCAGTCTGCCCGTAATTTAGGGGGTGGGAGTTGAGTAGGGACCGGTCTCAGGAAAGACAATGCAGGAGAAGAGAGTAACAAGCTATGACGGCTTAGTACCTACGGGAATGAGATGAGTGGGCTGCGATTCTTCCAGTTTGTTCCTCAGCCAGTCAAAGTCCTGGTATCTTCGCCGGACCGAATATTCAGGCAGGTCAAACTCCACCCGAGTACTCTGCAAATAAGAAGAGTGGAACAGAATGAGCACAGGGGAATAGGAGCCTCATTTGGCAGAAGGGGAGGATAAAAGCTCTCTGTGAGTAAGTAGCCTGGGCAAGAACACACTTTCCTTGCACCAGACACACCAAACCGAGAGGCGGGGCTCACCAACAAAGAATGACAAGTCTGGGCCACAGGGCCCAGTGAAAAATTCATGGATCTAGAATGAAAATGTCCGGGTTTTTGTTGTTGTTTTTTTTTAATTTCTACCCTCAGAAAATGGAACTCAGTCAACTATCCCTCAGAATTGTGTTCGGAAACATTTGATTCATTTCCTCCAAACTTAACTTGGAGAATTTATTTTAGCAGAATCATTCTACTGAGGATATTGCTACTGAATCCAAATTTGGCTCCGCTGGTTGGAGCACTGTCCCGATACGCCAAGTTTGCAGGTTCGATGCCTGGTCAGGACACATGCAAGAATCCATAAACGAATGCATGAGTGAGTGGATCAACAAACTGATGTTTCTCTCCTGCCTCCTCTTTCTCTAAAATCAGAAAATGAAATGAAATGAAATAAAATGAAAACTAAAAAAAAGAAAGAACAGATCACCTGCTCTCTTAGAAGACAGATTAGATAAAAACAGAAAAGTTTTTGCCTCATCTGCCATATTCTGGCCAGAATCATAACCTTAAAATTATACTGTATTTTAGATGACCAAAAAAAAACTACAAGGAAATAGTTTGAAAATGTGATTGCACTGGAGAAAAATATTTATCTCATCCCCCTTCCTGATTTCAGTTATCTGAAATGTAATTGTAGCACTTTGATCATAAAAACCAATGTTAAATGAGATGAAATTAATCAATTCTCATTAATAAATGAGATTTATTAATCAATAAATTGATTAATTTCATCTCATTTAACAGGCAAACATGATTTTTCCACATTAATTTGCCAGCAGTAGTCCTGGCACTGCAACCAGATTCAACTGTATGTAAATTATGATTTCACTGTTAAAAAGTTGGATATAAATGGTTAGAAGGAATATCTGGAGCTGATAACTGACAACTGTCCTCTTCACACTTGTCCTTATTTCCAAACTGTCACCCACTCTCACACAATACTTGAATGGTGACACACGCACACACTGCTCATTTTTTAAACAGCCCCTTTAAAGACAAAGGGGGTTTAAGAATGCAGTAAAGCTTGTTTGATGCTTTGGGAAGTAACAGGATAAAAAATAACCATTATAATACAGAAGGATGTTCGCCCTCTCTGACCCGATATTTATTTTACTAACTTTTACCACAACTCATTCTAGAAAAGATAGAGTGACACGTGAGATACAGTCAAATGACACAAATTAGAAGTAGGTGAGAAAGATAAAGGAAAAACAAAGACAGAGAGAAAAGCAGAGCCAGGAGCGAGGCCAGCAAAACACACGCACCTTGGGATTCTGCGCGCCACCTAAAACTGGGCCACGGGCATTACTGAGTTTCTGGAGAGAAACCCAGTCGCAGCACTCATAAAATATGGGAGCCAATAAAACTCCAACTATGAGTTTTTGGTAAAGTTCTCCTCTGTGAAATTCGGGATCTAACTTCCGAAAAGGTAGTAAGTGTTCACCTGTGTTTGATCCCTAGCGTCTGTGGTAAACAAAGCAATAAGAAAGGACAGTGCACACCCGAGAGTCACACTCAGAGCCAAACCCTGCAGCGTTCTGCCCCATGTATCTCCACACTGCGTTCCTCCTGCTGGGGTGGCCCACAAAGATCCCAAGGTCACGGGTTCACACCTACAGTCGGATGAACAAAGAGGTGACCACGCACACGAGTGGTAATGAAGACAGTTCATTTTCATTGTCGCTCCTTATGAATATTGTCATGGTGATCTCTAGGCCTCCCTGCCAATTTTTTTAAACACTTTTGTAGACCTAGCACAGAGTCAGAGAAAGGAACACCTGTGAAAGAAAATAGACTTGAACCCTGAAGACTAAAGGGAATTAAGAATAATCCTCCGAGCCTCATCTTCCCATGAAAGAATGCCTCTTGCTCCCCAAGTTAGTGTGTCCAATGACGGTGGCCCGGAGTCCTTCCAAAGAATTTCCACTCGATCCAAAATTGATGACCAGCTCCCTCTAGAGAGGCTTGCTCTTTGTCAGAAATGCCATCTCCCCTGGCCATGGCTAAATCTTAAGAAGTCTGAGTGACCCCACTTTCTCAAAAGTTACCGCTTCCCTCATCAAATATTAGCCAGCCAAGCCTGTTCCACTTCAAAAACCCCCAGGGCTCTAGAAGACTAGCTGTAAAGGGCGCCGGGAGAGGCTTCTGGCGTCCCCTCCTCCTCCTCCTCCAGGCTTCCTTTGACAGCCGTCACTTACCTCCTTTTTCTCAGACATTTCCGCCAAGCTCTCTGGAACACCCATTGCATCACTAATATTAAAGCCCTGTAGTTCTTCGACCTGTTCCAATCCTGGAGGCTGAGAACACAGCCTCCCGACACCCGTCCCGTCAGGTGGAAAGCTGCTCATTTTTGCACATTTCACAAACCTCGTTTCCAAGACCAAGAGCTGTCACGGCCATCCGGCTTGCTCCGCAGGGCTCCTTGCGGCCACCACTCCCTGGCCCCATGAGAGCCCCTCGAGGCTCACGCCATCCAGCTGGACCCATCTCTCTCCCTCCTCATCCCGTCACCCGCTGACAGTCCTGTCTTTTCTCCTGATTCCCTGACAGCGCCCAGATCTGAGGTTCCCTCTCCAGAACCCCTCCAGAGCCTGGCTACCCTCAAGAGCCAGTCGGCCCGCAAATACGCCACCCGCCACCAAGCCAACAATGTCTCCTTCCCACTGCCTCTCCCCGAACTGTCATCGCACAAAAGCGCAGACGTCTCCCTCTCTAACCGGCACCTCCTGTGCTCCAGACCGCCACTTCCCAACACCCCTGGGTTTTCAGCCTCTTGGGACCTACAGTCCCTTGACATTCTCTCCATCCCTGTCTCTACTTCCTTCCTTAATCAGCCTCAATTCCCTGAGCCATCACTTCAACCTCTGACTTGCCCCCATGCCCCGCCCCCACCGTCCATCACACACGTCTAGCAAAAATGCAACCATCCGCTTCTCGTTCTAGTGGACCTGGGTGTGTGAGCACAGTCCTGAAGGCAAAGCCAACCCAGCAAAGCACACTGATCAATGCCATATATTCCCCAACAGGACCCTCAACACCGGCCAGCAATCTTTCTATAGGTCCGCAATCGACTCTTTCCCTCATTTTCCACATCAGTTAGTACAAAGTCTGTGAAAATTTTGAAAACTTCCAAGCCCCACTTAAGAACTTTCCTATCCCTCTCCGTAGAGGACCTCATTACCTATCCACAGAGGGAAATGCAGCTGTAAGTAAAGAACCCCCAACTTCCTGCCACAAAAATTCCCTCCTTTCTCCAGAAACAATGGAAAAAGATTCCCCTCCCTCATCGAAGGCCACTCCCTCCCTCCACTTCTGCTCAGGATGCTGTCTCCTCCTGCCTCCCGGGTGGCTTTCTACCCTCTGATCTGCAACCTACCATCTCCTTCTCTCCCCACACTGCCCGCCTGGCACCTACCCAAGCCTCTCCCATCCTGAAAACACACACAAAAAGCCCATCCCCTTCACACCCACATCCCCCTCTGTTACTGTTCTTTCTCTACATGTGCTTTCATTGCCAAACCGCCAACACTCATTGCAATGACTTTCTCACTTCTCACTCAGCCTCACCCACTGCAAACTGGCTTCTGGCCCACCACACCGATGAAACTGCTCTCCCACAGTCTTCAATAACCTTGTCACCACATCTGACGTTCTCTTTGTAATCCTTACCTATAACTTGACCTCTGAGCAGCATTTAGCCTGTGGACCACTGAAGCATATGAAAAGAAAAACTTGTTGGGGCTTAAGTCTTGGTAACGACCGTTTGGGTGATGGGGTAAAAGATGAGGGGGAGCAGCTCCTAAAGGGAGCTGGAGGCTCCTCTCCCTCCCCCAGCCTCCAGTCTGCGTCCACATCATCACCAGCTTCAACAGCCAGGCTGCGGTAGTGAACCACCTGCTGGGGGAGGCAGAGGCCACAGCACTGGGGTGGAGGGGAGGGCAGGGGGCATCCCTCCCTTGAAAGTCATGTCATGTCTTGGATCCAAGTTCTAGTTGCACCACGCACTAGCTGCATGTCTCTGAGCAACTTTCTTCACGTCTCTGTGTCTCGGGTTCCTCATGTGCAAAATAAAAACACCACCAGTACCCGTCTCATTGAGCGTGAGGATTAACTGATGATACATTTAAAGCACTTAGCACAAAATAAATGACAGCTCATCCATACTGCAGAGCACTACTGCAGTCTTAGAAATGACAGCGTAAAAGCGGGTTTACCGGCATTTATTAACACAGAAAGACATCTGCAGCATGCTAAGTGAATTGACGCCATGGAAACTACGCATTTTTGTAAGCAAATAAGAGACGAATAATTCATAAAGTTACAAGTGATTATTTCTGGCTAGAGAGCTTAGAGATCTTTTATTTCACTGTTTTAGCTTGAGTTTTCCAGTTTCTCTACAGTGAGCACATATTATTTATATAAAATACAATTTAAAGGGTTTCTATTGCAAACAAGTCTAGCACATGGTAAGTGCTCAATAATTAGTCATTATGATGATGTTACTTTCTAGGAGCCTGCAGGGCAAATTGCCGACTCGGCCTGCCCTGAAAAGACCTCTCCCCACCCCCGGAGAGGTAAGAAACCCACCACTTAGAGTCACTCTGCCTACATTGGCTCCCAGCCCTTGGCTCACTTTAGCTCGGGCAAAAGCAGCTCTGTCCAACTTTGGTCGTCAGGAATCTGAACTAGAACTGGGAGCCAAAGCGTAAAGTAAGCGAGTGAGAATACACACAACCTTGTCCTCTGACCATTAACTTCGCTTGAGAACCTCAGCAGAAGTTGCTCGGGTGTTCGGGACCCTGTCTTCCTGTGTGTCCTCTCTCCCACCCCCACACCTCCCTACATGTCCTTTAACACGACATTCAGAAGGAGGGCTCCAAATGCGTCGCCACGACAGGAAACTTGGTGTCGCTGTTTGAAACAGGAAAAGAACAGGACTCCGGTTTGAGAAGTGGGATTGACAGCAGTACATCAAACTTAATTTTGCAGCAAGTTTAGCCGGAGGTGTTAGCATCGCAGAGAAGGGGAAAGATGGGATTGCAACTTGGAAATGGCCATCCTGTGACGTTATGTGACTGACAGGAAACAAAGAGCCCTTGTGAAATAAAACAGAAATAAGAACGCAGAGAGAAGGGGGACAAAGGAAAGAGGGGGCACGGAAGAGAGTGGTGAGCTGTGGCAGGTGCCGCAGCCTGTGAATCAGTGGACAAAGTCCTATGGGATTAGCATCTGGGGGCGGTCAACTGCAGGACAGGGGAACACAGGAGGGGCGGGAAAACGTCGCGAGAGGCGAGCACTGCTGTGCCAGCAAGCAGTCACCTTGCTGTTCAGCTGTTTAGAGCACAAGTTCAAGAAAAACAGGTTTTGCATTTCACTGACTGCAGGGTAAAAAGATAAGTTGACTCCAAGAGGGAAAACAATAAGTAACTGGAAATAATTCACGGGAATCCATATACCAACCTAGGACCTTTGAGGAGGTAACACACATCTAAGCAGCCAGCCCAGTGCCTGGGAAATAAATGGTAAGTACCAGTGGCCACAATGACGGGGAAGACTGTGAGTTCATGTGCTGGTGACAGATTTCCAAATGTGAACTGGGTGACGTGGCAGTGACATCACAGTGGCAACAGAGAAGAAAGTCAGTCAGGGTTAGTCTCCACCCTCCTTTACTCCTTCTTCCCCACCAGCAAGTCTAATTACACCAAACGGTAACCATGGCCTCACCACAGAGACTTAGGTTAAATCGGTAGTTCATATTCCAAGTGCAATGTGATATTAATATGTTAAGTAAGGGAAGGTAGAGTTGACCCTTGAACACCATGGGGGCGAGGGGAGCTGACCCCTCCACGGGCATATAAATTTCACCTCCCCCCAAACATAACTAGTAATAGCCAATCACTAACCAATAACATGAACAGTCAACACATATTTTGCATGTTATAGGTATCACGTACTATATTCTTACGATAAAGTAAGTCCAAGAAAAGATGTTACGACAAAATTGTAAGAGAAGATACATATACAATAGTATCTACTGAGAAAATATATGTGCAGGCAGACGCACACAGTTCAACCCCATGTTGCTCAAGGGTCAGCGATGTAAGGATTAAGTGTTTCCTTTGACAGCTGCAGTCACAATTTATCATTTTAAAATGAAAACAACCTACGTATTGCATAATCCTTTTAATGTGAATGCAGTCACTCTCCCGGAGAGCCACACCCACAGCTCCAACAAAGGGGAGCAGGGTTGCAGAGAAGGAGAGAGAGAGCAAGGGCGGGACTACGGGGGCAGGACCCCTCCTCCCAGACCGCCCAGCGCGGGCGCAGGGCGGCAAAGGGACCTACTTTGGTGGTGATCCTGTACGTGATGTAGGTCTCCATGGTGCAGACGTGCTTCTTGGGATCATCCACTGTGACAAAGAGATCTCTGGTCTCACCATCGATGTCGTCGTCAAGCTGAAGTCTGTTGAGCAGGGAGGATGAGGAAGCTGGACTGGAAGCACCTGCTGGAGTACCGCCGTTGGGCAAAATGAGATCCTGAAAGAAGAGAGGAATCACCTTACAAATTAAATGAAGACACACGCCCGGAGAGTATCAGCAAAAGAAGCTGGTTTCGCCAAGCCAAGAAACACCTCTCAATACAGAACGACTTTCAAAGAATCCGGGCCTCTCCTTACGTAACATTCCTTAAGTGGACAGGCCTTTCACGACCGAGAGAACCAAACCAGGTTCTCGGAATTCATCTTCCAACAAAAACAGGGGAAAGCCACAGGAGCAGGCAGTTTGGGGACGGAGAACACAGCAGCCCCCACCGTCACCCGTCCCAGCAGAGAGCAAACTTGGTGCACACACCACGTGTTCTTGCCCACTTTCTCAGGACCACCACCTGGGCCCAGGGACATACCAAGAGACCCGAGGGACCCTCCAAAACATTGAAGGACTCAATCAACCATCACAAAGAAACAACTAAACATTATGGGCCTCCTGAAAGAAGTTCATTCGCAAAACCGCCTATGGAGCGTGCTTGCCAAACAACATTGACCCTGAGCCCTGAACAATCTGTATTACGCAACCCTGGTTTACACCGAGGAATGAGGAAGATGTTCAGCAGTGCTATGAGAATGCAGTCAGCAAAATCCACACCGCGTGAGACTGTAGGGAACTGAAGACCCAGCTTTTTCCGTAAATAAACCGCAAGGGATGAAAACACAGAGAGATGGCAGCACCTGGAGATGTAAGGAAACGAACGTAAGAGCCCTGTAACGACTGCAGTGGAACCTGATTAAAAGAGAAGATTTTGAGATGGTCAGGAAAATTTAAGTATTGGCCAGTTATTTGATGACATTAAGAAACTATTAGGTCTGATAATACAAGCATTAAGATTTTACAAAGTTTTCATCTTGTAGAAATATGTATTAAAATACCAATGGGTGAAATAATAGGATGCCTGGTGTTTGCTTCAAAATAATTAAGGATATTGAAGCAGGTAACTGCAGTTTTGTTATAAAATTTTCTCCTCTTTTGTATATGTTTAAAATTCTCCACAATTAAAAATTGGGGGAGGGGGTGGCAAATGCCAGGGGAAAGAAAAGGAAGAAAAAAAAATCTTTAATTACCAGTAGGAACTTGTTCCTCTTAAGGCCTTGGTAAGAAACCATTTGAATAAATTATGACCCTATTATCAAAAAAGGGTGCAATCTTGCAGCTACCTTTTTTACTGGTTTTAACGTCTGATAAGAGACAAAGCCCTGTCTGGATGTGAAAACCTCTGAATGTGACTTTGGAACCATCAGGAGGCAGACACGAGGGCACAGGGCGGGAAACGACGTGACACCATCGGAACTGCCTCGATGAGGAACCTGGGAACCACTCCTGGTCTGTGGGTCATCGGGGCCCAGGGTGGGGGTGGGTGGGGCCTTCCCCAGAATTCTCTGTCCCTGTCTGCAGGCCAGGTGCGACTGAGCCCCCAGGTTACAGAACATCCCGGGAATTAGAGGCCAACCTAGCCATCAGCACATCCACGGGACACCTGGGAAGAGGGCTGGGACAAGGCAGAGGAAAGCAAGGCCTGGGGTCAAGGGCAATGTCACCAACTCAGATAATTTAATTACATACTTGGTTATGCAACCAATCGATGTTTCTCTCTCACTGATGGTTTTTCCCCTCTTTTTCTCCCTCCCTTCCCCCTCTCTAAAAATAATAAAATATTTTAAAAAATTTTTTGTAATGACTGAAAGAGTACCATTTTCACGGAAGGTGCTCATGACGATGGGCCCCACCTTCACTACATAGCAGCTGCTCCCCGAGTGGCCATGGCTACGAGCCTCACTACTGCAGCAATCGCCTGGTCCCATTGGCTCCCCCAGCGTGCTGACACGGCAGAGCACGCAGGTCCACGCCCCGGGGGTCTGAGAGAGACACCTCTGAAGCTCCAAGACAACCATGGTGTTTTCATGAGTTCAGCAAGTGTTTAAACAGGCACCGCCAGGCTGGGCACCGCAGGGGCCCGCGCTTACGTTTTGTCAACACCAGCAGCACACTGGGCCCCAGAAGGGCTCTGCGGATAGCTAAACACGGCACCAAAAAAAAAAAAAGGGAAATCTTCGGTCAGAGAAGCCAACAACAGCTTACGCAGCAGCTTTCCACAACCTCAGCAGCCGCATTTCTCACGGTACCAGCTCCCGGAATCCTGATCTTTGCTCACGAAGCCCCGCCTCTGTTTCATGGACAGGTCTCCAGGTATCTCACAGGAATCTGCTCGAGTCCCCTTCCTCTTGCATCGTTCCTTGATCCACTCCTTGGCAGAATCAGTCACTCCCTTCTCAAAACTCTGAAGATACTCCCACTGAAGCAACTGTCACAGGTTTAATCATTATTTACATACGTAACATCCACAAACACCGTGAGTCTGCAACAGCTATCGTTGTGCCTGGTTTACGGGCACGTGTGACTGTCTGCCCATTTGCAGGTCTCCTGTGACTCCCATCCAACCTCCCCAACCTTGGCTATGGGGACTGCGGCCATGACCTTCTAGGAACAGCCCAAATAAAGCCTGGAATGTCTTGGCAGGACAGGACAGCGGGACCTGAACTGTTTCTCAAATCAGTTGCAGGGTGGGGGAGGGGAGAGTCAGCCAGCAGGATCTGTGTGCACATTCTTTCTCTTAGGACTGTGTGACCAGGGAAAACACTCTCACTACGGGTGTTTCACAGAAAATTATCTGAGTGCACAGGAATAGTCAACAGGCTACAGGTATCTGTCATTTCCTAAAAAGGGGTGCTTCCGGCTCACGTTTCCGTGGCACCTCCGGGCCCAGTGCTTCCACTTCTTTACTCCTTGCACCCCACCTTGGCCTTGTGCGTCAGCAGGACGACACGGTCTCTGCTGATGAGGAAGTGGATCCCCAGAGGTTAGGCAACGCGTTCAAATGAATGGATGCTAGTCGTCGCCGAAGTAAGAGTCGAGCCAGGTTTCTGGTTCCAAGTTCAAGGTTCTAATCAAACTGAATCCCCTTTGTGTGGCTTTTCTGACCCGACACGGTACTGTCCCTCATTTCCACTCTCCGGCATAAATCCTTTTGGGGAAACGTGAAGCTTCTGTTTTCAAAAAGCCATTCAAGGAAAGCCAACATTTTCCTTAGAGTTATTTCCCAAGTGACTCCTCTCAAGGTATGGTCCCGGTGAGAAACAAGCGTGGTGAGAAACTGTGAAAACCTTGGGAGGACAGAGCCAAGGGCCCAGCAGCCGGATGGCGGGAAGCACAGAACCTGAGAAGTGAGCAGTGCCCCTGGCTCCACGTGAAAGCCCCCTGCTTCCATTTCTCAGCCCTGTAGTCAGTCCTCCTGCAGCCAAGGCGCCCTTGGAAGAGGTTAATCATTATTCAATACAGTTAATAATACTCTATTGCATATTGGACAGCCGTTAAGGGAGTAGACCTTACAAGTTCTCATCACAAGAAAAAAGAACTCCAGGAGAGCGTGACAAAGCCTCTGGAGGCACCCTCGAGGTTCAGGAGAGGATGGGGCGCTCTCTGCGTGCACCGGCGGTGCCCGACCTGCCTTCCTGCTCCCCGCCCCACCGCCGGCACACAGGAGGTGCGTGAAGAAGGAGTGTGTCCTGAGCAAACAGGACATTCTTGATGGCTGACTCTTTTGTAAAGTTATATTCAGGCCCACTCTGGGCAATAAATTCAGAGGAAAAACCCCAAAAATGTTCTGTTCGAAGATGTTCCTAAGAGCGAAGAACACAGAGTGAATTCTGGAAAAACCCCAAGGCTCAGTAACCAGGAAGTGATTGTGTTTCCAACAAGAACGTTACACACTCGTTGTAAAATTACAAATCTGGACCTGGCTGGTGGCTCAGCTGGTTGGAGCATCGTTTGTGCACCAAAAGGTTACGGCTTTGACCCCCTTTTCAGGGCACATTCCTACGTTGTGAGTTCAATCTCTGGTTGGGGCATGTAAGGGAGGCAGCCATCGATGTTCTCTCTCTCTCTAAAGTCAGTAAAGATACCCTCAGGGGAGGATTTAAAAATTACAATCCAGACTCAGTGAATTGAGTACAATCCTTTACTTCCTCCCTCTTTCCACTCTCTTAACTCAAAAAGCTAGCAAATGGGGTAGAAAGAGCAGGGGGGTGGGGGGAACAGAAAAAGACAACCAGTGACTGGAATTGTGCCAGACTGGAAACTAGGAAAGGGTGGCATCCAAAACTTTCGGAGATTTTCTCCTGAGATTTATTTAGCACAATTACTGAGATCATTTAAGTTGCCAAGGTGACCTAAGAAGTAGCAGATGTCCTGACTCCTCACATCCACTCTAATTTGAAATGTGACAGCCTAGGACACCGGGAGAGTGGCCGGGTGCCAGTGGGGCAGGGGGAGACCACCTGATTGTCTCACTGTGTCGACAGGGGATGGATGTCAAGCTCAGGCAGATCCATCACGCGAGGGCCACCAGCAGAGGGCACCCCCTCCACGTGGCTCCATCTCACCAGGCCAGGTCAGAGTGGGCAGATGGCAACTGGGTCAGCTGCCCTGGGCCGGTCCCCAGAGCACAAAGCACGAAAGACTGAAAACTCCGAAGGGGTGGTGTCTGCCCGGACGGGGAGAGCACCTGAGACAGGAAGGAAGCCAGGCGACACTGGGGCCAGACACAGAGAGGAGCCAGATGTCCCAATGTCCCTGACCCCCTGTCCGGGACACTGGCTCCCTTTCTTCCAACTCCTTTCCCCACTGACAGGTCACTCTACTGGTCTGTCAACCGGTTACTCAACTCAACCTAGGATCCAAGTAGAAAATTCTAACACCAAGGAGGAACAAAGGGAACCCCATAATTAACTCACTTGTTCCAACGGGAGGCAAATAGCCTGCATTACCCTCCCCAGACACAAGAGAACGGAACGATATGCCCAGCTGCACTAGCTCAGCATTCAGACACGAGAAAACCAAAACGTGAAGAAAGGAGCACAATGCTCAAGAGCAAAGGTTTACATTTGGAAAAGATTCATCCCGTGGAACAGAATACTTTTTGGCTACTT